TGTCTGAAGAAGATTGAAGCCAGCGTCGACGGGCTCGTTCAAATTGGGGGTGGGTAGGTGAAAGAAATGGTTGTGAAAATCAAAGATGTCTTTGATTTCTAGAGTTACAGAAACTATTTGGCACGATATAGCAATGCACAGACTAATGGGTGTGATTGAAACACCTTGATCTGGACTTAGTTGTCAAACGTACTTATGTTTTCTAAGGAGCGAGGGTGTTTCGAGTGTTATGTTGCCAAACAGTGAACCTCTCTTGTAACTAGGGGAAGAAAATGAACATGTCTGAAGGCTGTTGGGTCAAGGAATGATTTTGTGTATTGATTGCTGTCACCTTAAGGACAGTCTAGTTATATAAGACAGGGCCCAGCTGAGGAGGGGCTGGCACTTTCCCTATAGCAGTGGGCTTAGAACTTCCACCCTATTTTTCAGAAATTAAATTCACTCTGTATGAATCTTTCCAACGTTTGGTTCTTCTATTCAGAACAGGTGTAGGAACAGCAGCTGATTGCTTAGTAGGAGGGAAATTACAGGTAAGGTTATTGGAGCACTGAGGTAACTCGGGTTGCTCATACTACCGTGAGTTTGAATCCTAGCGCAACACATTCTATTTGCTTCATCTTAAACAAGATCCTTCCCCGGTCCAAATCTAGGTTTATTCCATGGTACGACGTTCAAATAGCTAATGATTTGAGAGCTAATGCCCAAATAATAGCAGACATCTGTTTATCTTAGGAGTACACCACTTCTTTCCATTCAGAAAACAGACTCAGCTGCAAACCCCATGTGCTAACTGGGCCGTTCTCCATAGTGACTACCTTTGACCCTCCTGGAGATGCCCTACAGTCATTGCTAATCAGAATGAGAAGACAATGCCCCCCCACAAACGACTCCTAATGATTGGGCAATTTGTTTTGCAGCAACAATACCAAAACTGACTTTGGCATCAAGAATGGGCTAGTCCCACGATGAAATCCTGAAAGGGCGGAGTGGCTTTAGAACTGGGCAGTGGACAGAAGCTGGAAGAGCTTTGAAGAGAGTGTTACTGAAAAACAAACAAAAAAACAGAACACCCAATTCACTGCCATCAAGTGGATGCCGACTCAGAACAACTCTAGGACAGGGCTGAACTGCCCTGTGAGTTTCCAAGACTCAACTGTTCATGAGAGCAGAAAGGCACAACTTCCTCCCACAGCGTGGGTGATCGTTCCAAACTTACGACATCGTAGCTCGAAGCCCAACGCATAACCACTACACCACCAAGGGCCCTCGCCCAAAGGAAAGGAGGAAAAGGTCATTGATAATTGGAGGAAAGATGGTCCTTAGAAAGTCCTGTAGAAACCGGTGAAGAACTTAAGCCTCTGACCGATAGCCATGCGACTAAGCCACACTATTTGGAAAACGAGTTCTACATTTCTAGCCAGGCCTTCCAAAGACCACAGCTCCAGGCAACATCTTTCCTGAAGCCTCTGAGAGACCCCGAACCAGAACCACCCAGAAGCTACTCCAGCGCTTGGCTCTCAGAAACTGTGAGATGATATTTGCTTTTAGCAGCCAAAGTTGGGGCTGCTTTTCTAGAGTGCAGTAAATGAATATACCAAGGGCACTTGCTCTGAATGTTCCGAAGATGGTAATTTCTAAGAAATCAAGTGTTCTGATTTCTGTGCAGAGGAGGACAAAAGACGTGTATCATAGAGTCTGGCACAACTTGTTACCCGAGCTTTATATGGTCGCTAGATTTTAACAGCTCCAGCGGTTTCTGGCTCGAAACGCCTTTCTCCACAGAGGGCTCAAAGGATTGTGAAATGTCAGGCACTGACTGGCACAGTATGATAGTTTTACTTTCAGGTAAAATTAGAACAGAAAACATAATGAAAATTGTAAGATACCCTTCCCCCATGACCCGACACCCACATAAAACTGTCCTTTTAAGACAATATAAAATGTTTTCATTAAAAAAAAAATTTTTTTCTGATCACATTCCTTTTGTGACGACTAAATTGTTTCCTTTCAAGCCTGGGGAAGTGGAAGTAACTAAGCAAGGCACACTATTCACAGGGGTACTAATGTTGACGTTTGAGTTGTCATCTGCTGACCTTTTTTTCTTCTTCCCAGAATAGTGCCATCAATCCCCGTTTTGAATGCAGACACTGAAGTCATTTCCAGGGAAATGAACTGAAGAAAATCAAAACTGTGCATGGAATCGTAACAAAACAAACATCCTGATTTTCTTCTGAACATTTTATAGATTGTTTGGAGGTTTAAAAGCAAGAGGTTTCTAAAAACATAAATATTGAACAAAGGCTGCACAGCGATCAAACACACATTAACACATATTTAAAAATACATATTTTTCATCCCACTATACCCACTTGTAAAGAGCCTTGGTATGTTGTCACTTGGACGGTTCATAACCAGCCACTCCTTTGGGAAAAAAATATGAGGCTTTGTGCTCCTGTGAAGATTTACAGGCTCAGCCTCAGAAACCCACAAGCGCAATTCTACTCTGTCCCATAGGGCCAGTATGAGTGTGGTAGTTATATAATTTCATGTCAATTTGATAAGTAAGTGCAGGGGTGGAGTCTAGCCTGTCAATCAGGTCACAGCCTGATGCCTCTTTGTGGGTGTGGCCTTCCCATGAGGATTCTGTGAACTTCCTCTCTTTCTCCCTGGAAGTGGGCCACACACTTTCTCTCTGCCACTCTTTCCTGCTGTTGAGACCTCCAGAGAGCTGGAGGAACCATGTGGAGACCCACATCATCACTGAGATGCTTCCACAGCCACTGGATCCACAAGACTTTTCACCCACCAGCCTGTGATCTTCCTGTATTCTGCACCTCTGCATGTGCTGCGTGAGTCTGAAGAGGAACGTATAGACTAGTATCAGACGTATGAACTAATATCAGACTTAGGGACTTGATTTGGAGCAGGCTGGGATGTTTCCTCAGTATACAGTTGCTCTGTGATATAAAGCTCTCTTACACACGCGTCTCTGGATTTGTTTCCCTAGTCAACCTGGACTAACACAATGCGTCAGAATCAACTCAATGGCAGTGTATCTGAGTTTCCACGCTAATGCTAAATGCTAATGTTTTTTAATGTCCACCCAAGTCTGTATTTCTGTGCAGATTCTCTGGCTATCCTAGCTAAAATTCATCTAAGGCAGTGTGACTGTCAACCTTCCTAATGCCACAACCCTTTTGTGGTGACCACCCCAACCATAAAATTATTTTCGTTGCTACTTCATAACTGTAGTTTTGCTACTGTTATGCTACTGTTATGACCCTGTGAAAGGGTCGTGGGACCCCCAAAGGGGTCACAACCCACAGGTTGAGAACTGCTGATCTAAGGGAATCAATGGAAAACAAACACCATCCCACCCACTTGGATTATTTTCAACCACACTTTATCTTCTCCCCTGATTAGATCAATATGTGCTTTCTCCTCTACCAAATACAAAGCAAAAGTTCCTTTTTAACCTGAGGCACAGGTATGGGGTACAGGTGGTGAGGCGTGGCCATACCACCACCAATCAGCCCTAAGTATCCTCTCCCCAAATTCACTATCAAGTCGATGCCAACTCATAATGACCCTATATTCTTAAAAAAAAAAATCTTTAAAGAGCCAAGATGAAGCTTTCCATTTCCATAAAGAGTTAGCATCTCTTGGAAACTCACAGGGGCAGTTCTACCATGCCCTGTAAAGTTGCGGAGTCTGAATCCACTCGATGGGAGTTAAGTTTTTGAGGACTAAAGATAATTTGTGCCAATAATAATGCCTAAAAACAGAGGGCTGTCACCTTAGCATTTGGCCTAAAACAACCATATGCGGGAGGTATTATTGTTTTCAATGTAAAGATTTTGGGTCACAAAGCTAGTGCTTAGATAAACCAGGATTTTGGGCCACCTCTCTCCCCAGATCTTCCAAAATCAGTTCTTAAAAAGAGTCACAGAACTATCTAGCCCAATTTTTTGCATTTGAGTATTGCTCTTACGGAGTCAAATAGGGAAATGACATGTAATCAGGAATTCTCACTGGGCAAATACTGTCTCTTGCCGCCTCTCTTCATCTGACTTCTCCTACTAACCCCCAAGGCGGTCTGTCAGAAAAGGGCACAGAGGTGGCCACCTTAGCATCCCTGAGCCCCCTAGGAGGAAGGAATGCAAATAGACTTTGCAAACACACAAAGCACAGACAACCCAAAGGTTGGTTTGCTCATTCTGACTTGGGTTCCCAGAGGCTAAGAGAACAAACACAACCAGGCCCTAGGGAAGTCCCAAGCGACCACGATCACCTGGTAAACAACACTGCCAGGCTCCTCGCAGGACACGCGGCACCTTGGGGGCTGTGACAGGCGGCTGAAACACACAAGGGCACCAGCCTCGTGGTCTCCTAAAGGCAGGTGGCATCTCTGGGAAGCAAGTGGAGGAGGCGAGTCTCAATTCCCACCTCGGGTGGGGGCAGGGTGGGGGCGGGGGTAGGTTGCACTCCCTCCCACCCCCTCCTCCCCAAAAGTTGCGAATCCGCCCCGCGGGAAACGCAGAAAAGGGCCATTGCCACTTTAAATGACTCCGGAAGTGAAAGGAGGCCTCCGGAGGAGGGAAGCGGAGCGGAACCGGGACGGCCTCCACGCGCTCGCCGCCGCCAGGGGCTGCG